ATTAACCATTGTTGTTGAAATGTAAATAAACAAACTTTCAGCGCATCTGCTACATACTAATATACAAATTTGACGTGTCCATGGTTTGCAGAAACGTACAAGACCAACATTTATTCTAATGTTTTGGCGGAGGGTCTACAGCCATTCTGTGAGCCTGTACTGAGCTTTGTTTTGTTTTGTCAATATGCTAACATGCTGATGGTTATCAAGTACAATTGATATTGTGTTGACCATCTTAGATTGGCGTGTTAGACTGCTTACATTTGCTAAAAAGCAAAAGCACAGCTAAGGCAGATGGGGATGTTTTGCAGGTATTTGGTTAATAAACCAAAGTATTGGAAAAGTTAAAATACAAACCTGATGATGGTGCTAGATGAAAGGTCACATTATGACAATTCATCCTCTGGGGACCATGAATGTGTCAACCAAATTTCATGGCAATTCAATCATATCCTAGTTGTTGACATATTTTAATCAAAACGAGGAATGTCTGCCTCATAGTGGCACCAGAGGAAAAGTTAAGGAGATCATCACTGTCAATGGGATACTTCTTTGGGAAACCACCAATTTCTCAATGCGTTCTCACTCCAACTTGTCAAATATAGCAGCTTTGTCTGTGGAATCTCACATCTACATATGATGCGCTAGGTATCCTCCTGCATCTGTTCTTGATGTTTCATGACGCTGTATCAGTTAATGTTTGTTACGTTGCATTGTGTCTACTCAAAATACACTTCTGTTTTTACAGGAACTGTACCCCCCTTTTTTGTTTGTGTAACAAAAGCATGTGGATTGGTTCAGAAAAAAAAAAAATCATGGTCTGGCTCAATATTCATATGAGAAGTGAATAGCAGGCTCCCTGAAGAAAGTCTGGGGTTTGTTGAACCTCCCCTCCTGATCCTCTCCAACCCGCCCATCCTGTAGGAATTTTCCAGCTTCTTATGTTACAATGTTACTGACGGCACTTGCGTTTCATGTCCACTGACATAGCACTAGTATTTGACGTGCCTTTGTGCATTGGTATCTAATGCCCAGATCAATGACAAAGCGGTGGTATTTGATGAGTTTGGAATGAGAACGCATTGAATCTTTGGAGCATAGCTAAATAAAGTTGAGATGGACAGATGATAAGACAGACATACCCTGTATCTCTGGATAATTCATTAGGTATAGGAAGGCACTGAGCAGGGTGTTGGCGGTGGTATCTGTCCCCGCAAAGTGAAGATCCAAAAGAAATGCACAAAGCTGGTCTTCAGAAAATGACGAGGCATCTTCTCCTCTCTTTGCAGGCAGACAAAAGAGAAAAAGAAATGTCACCATCAGAGCAAAGAAAATGTGTTAGCTGTAAACAACAACACAGTTCATACCAGCTGAACAGAATTTCTGTCTTTTAAAAAAAGAGACCCACACACCTTCTCCAGTTCATCCAGGTAGCAGTCTATGAAATGCCGTGGTTTACCAGGAACTCTAGTCTTTTTGTTCTCAGCCAACATCTCCATACGTTTTTCATGTGCAATCTGGTTAGAAAAAGTTAATTAAATAAACAGGTTCAAATTTTAGGAACATTTTTTAAAATAAATGATGAGGATTTCTCAGGGGCTCTTGTTTTGATTTCTTTAAGTCTAAACACCATTTTATTGTTTTGTTTTCCAGTGCCACAACTTGTTTCTTTGTATTCTATACTAATCAGTGTAAACCAATTTACAGCAAGATACAGTGGTCAAATGATGAAAATGATTTCTCAGCATGCCATATACAGTAACACATAAACAATGTAATGTAGCATCTGAAGTTCTGTACTTTGTGTTTAGTGCTAATTAGCTTATGTTAGCATGTTACAACATTCAGATAACACATTAAGCTTTTCATTGTGAGCTTGTTAGCATTCTGGCATGAGCATACGTCTCAAAGCAGCCAGAGTCGTTGGCATGACTGTAGACTGTTTCATCTTTTCTAATTTCAATCATTCTTTCTTTTTGACTCTTACTTTCATTAAGCAGGGCAAGTTTTCTGCAATGCAGACTGATTCTCTCTGGTTGGCACGTCATTTTGTTATTCCTTGGCATTCACTACAGAAACTACCAGGTAGCCTTCCTATCAACCCCATCAACTGAATCCATAGTCAATTATCTCTGTGATAAAAAACAATGGTGTAATGTTTGTTTGCACAATTTTAAAATGAACACTTTACAAGACATACCCTGAACAGCTTAAAAGCTTTCTGGAAGGGCAGTGGCAGGCTGCGCACCATGGGAAGAGAGTCATAAATCTGTACAAGAGAGAAAAATGAAAAATTACAAAGTTGAAAGCTCCTTTTGCCAACTCTGCATTTATGTTGTTGTCAAAAATGTTACTCACCAAACCCCAGCGGCCATTGATCATTTTGGAGGTGGCATGAAAAAGGCCGACAAAAAACTTCATGAACTCATCTTCATAGTCGAACTGCTGAGCAAACAGAACTTGGCAGATGATGCTAGAGGCTGCATTGTGAAAGAGCATGTTGGGGTTCATGGTCTTACCTGGAAAAACAATATGAGCAAAGATTCTTGGACACAGTCTTCACAAAAACAGAGACACAGATTATATAATCAGGCATAATGTTACTTAAAAAAAAAAAAAATTCTGGTGTTGATTCACCAATATCTATCGACTTTTTTTTTTG